GAATCTGATCATGACAAATGTCTGATTTTATCAGTGAAATGTTTATCTATCCATCTATCCATCTATCCATCTATCTATCTATCTATCTATCTATCTATCTATCTATCTATCTATCTATCTATCTATCTATCTATCTATCTAATTATCTATCTATCTATCTATCTATCTATCTATCTATCTATCTATCTATCTATCTATCTATCTATCTATCTATCTATCTATCTATCTAATTATCTATCTATCTATCTATCTATCTATCTATCTATCTATCTATCTATCTATCTATCTATCTATCTATCTATCTATCTATCTATCTATCTATCTATCTATCTATCTATCTATCTATCTATCTAATTATCTATCTATCTATCTATCTATCTATCTATCTATCTATCTATCTATCTATCTATCTATCTATCTATCTGTCTGTCTGTCTGTCTGTCTGTCTGTCTGTCTGTCTGTCTGTCTGTCTGTCTGTCTGTCTATTTATTTATCTATCTATCTATCTATCTATCTATCTATCTATCTATCTATCTATCTATCTATCTATCTATCTATCTATCTATCTATCTATCTATCTATCTATCTATCTATCTATCTATCTATCTATCTATTTATCTATCTATCTGTCTGTCTGTCTGTCTGTCTATTTATTTATTTATTTATTTATTTATTCATAGTCCATGACAAAAAGCATCCATATACATCTAAGGTAATACTCAACTTTTGGGAATTACGAATAGTCTTCTGATGTCATCATTGTCTCCTGCATGAAGGACTACTTTAAAGACCACACAAGTCTATATAAAATACCAATAGCATGTCTACATATTTCTGAAACAATAATAATAATAATAATAATCCTAATACTAAACATGTTTAGCATACCCTGTTGAGTTCAGTATTGAGATACCTATCCAATTATTTATTGGTAAACCCCTATTTCCTAAACGTACATTATTTTTCAAAGCATTTATTTAAATTTGAAGAAATGAGTGTCATTTCTTATTTTAGAGTCATGTTTTAGTAAAATAAAAACGTTCAACAGAATTACAGGGGAATTTTGCGCAAAAAAATAAATAAATAAATAACTGTACAGCTGTACTACCGAGGTCTGTCTTTCGGTCTTCATTTCTGTCTGTAGATATCATGAAACTTAGTTCATGTTATCACTGAAATTAATGAAATCATTAAGTTAATGCCTTTCTGTCCATGTTGCTGTTCTCATTTCTGCAACCCAGACTCATTGGAAATACATGCCGAAGCCTATGTTTTTGTGGAACTTAAAATACATTCCTCTGAGTATGTTTTGTTGTACATTTGACATTACAAATCCACTAGAGGGTGCTGTCTTAATTTTGTAAACATTAAATATGTCACTTAGGGTGTGTTTTGATGCAAGTTTTAGATGATAAATCCATTGCAGAGGGCAATCCTTGCATCCTTCTTTCATTTACATTTCTCTATCTTTTACTGTTCACATCAGTCTTTCCGTCCTTCTCTCTCTCTTCCTGTGCACATCTTTTCCCTTTCTGTAAGTCAAAACTTCTGCCTTTCCCCGTCTATAATTCTGTCACTTTCTATCTGTCCTTTTCTCTTTCTGTCCTCATTCCTCTCCTTCAGACTCAGCCTATCTCTGTGTTTTCCTGACTAGCTTTCAGGTTCTGCCATTTTCACTATTTACTTCATCCATCTTTTCTCCAGGTTTCTGTTGAAAAGGCTTTTCTATCGATGCTCTCGACATGAAAATCTCCAATCGTTGTCAATTCATTCATTTTCCATCGGCTTAGTCCCTTTATTTATCAATGGGCCACCACAGTGGAATGAACCGCCAACTATTCCAACATATGTTTTATGCAGCAGATGCACTTCCAGCCACAACCCAGTACTGGGAAACACCCATACACTCATACATTCACGTATAGCGCATTTGTTTGGACTGTGGGGGAATCCAGAGCACCCTAAGGGAACCCGGAGGAAATCCACACCGACAAAGGAAGAACATGCAAACTCCATAGAGAAGCATCAACTGACCCGGCCGGGGCTTGAAGCAGAAACCCTCTTGCTGTGAGATGACAGTGCTAACCACTGAGCCACCGTGCCATCCTTGTTGTCAACTTCAGATGAAAAAGCACATCTGACACAGCAGAAAACACACTGAGGCGACAAATTAATAATGCTAATTATGCTAAATAATCATGTTTATTAATGAACACAAAGGTGTTATTCAATCAGAAACGTCCAGCCATTATCATACACAGTCGAAGACCGCAGTGTTCTCCTTCAGGTCCTCTTCTTCTACCTGACTGAAAGCAAGGGCTGACGACCTTCTCTGTTCTCCTGGCTTGATTAATAACTTAATATCTTATTAATTAGGGAATTTAGCTGAGAGTGAAATGCTTTAATTTCCCCGAGCAGAATTTCCTGTCTGAAAACAAGTGATTAAACGTCGGAGAGGTGAAAAGTGAAGGTCGCAACGCTCCGCTCTCCGCTACTGCCGTCTTCTTTCAGCGCATTTAAAAAGCTTAATTGTGTCACGTATGACAGTCCTTTGACCAAAGCCGTTCTCCCCTTCGGCACTTTGCACGTTTTGTCATGTAAATGGCCGAGCTGCCTTTTTTTTTTTCAGATCTCATCCGGAGAGTGTTCAGAGAGCGGGAACAGCAGTTGAAGGAAGATTAATGTTCTGTTACCTGCCTATTTCCTCTCAACTTCTTCTGTAATAGCTTTCCCCTGACACGATAAGCCGCCGCTGCAAATTTGTTCAAATGTTAGCAGCCCATTAAAACATTCCTAAATCTGCCGGACTGTTTAAACAAGCCCAAGGGCAGATTAAAGCTCGTCCAACCACAGACTGCTTTCAGATCCTCCAGCCGCGAATGCTGGTATATTGTGCATGGGCATGTTAGGGATGGGACAACAAAAAACAACAACTAAAAAGTTCAATTCTCTTGTCAGAGTTCAGTTTGGACACTTGCTGAGAACTACTTCAAACCACAGTGTTTAACATATAAGCTCACACAGACTAGGGGTCCTATCAAACACCCAGCGCAATAGACGAATTACCTGTTTGTAGAGATTCAGGATGCGTGCACAGCGAGGCTGCAGAAAAAAAACGTGAGCGCTAACATTTACAGCGAGGAAATGACATCTGATGCGGTACGGAGTTTGTTGCGGTCTTAAGCCTGGTTTATACTTCTGCGTCAAGTGACCGGCGTAATCCATGGTGCATGTAACGCACGTAGCTGTGCATTTATACTTTAGCGCGCTGTCTCTGTTTGTCTGCATTAACACTTCCAAAACGCTAGTGGGCAGTGAGGTGTAAATGTTCCTCTGTGTCGAGTTTCTTCGCTTCTGTTTTGCTATTCTGAACACTTCCTGGATGTACAAGTGGCTCAAACTCGCTCATTTTGAGGCAGGAACCAGCGGACGTGCAACAACTTTAACCATGAGGTAAACACAAAACAAAACTTTCCATCCGGAGCTCCTTCACCGGACTCCACACTTGTGCACAATCGCTCCATCAGGCTCACACCATTCACGCGGCTCTCGGTCCCGCCCAGACTCGTCAGCGCTACCAAGCCGACCAATCACAGAGCTTGCGTTACGCGTCGTTGCGACTTGCGTCGTTTACTTGCAGGTAGCATGTAACACAATGTCAGAATACCCATATACCAACAAAAGACTAAGGCCCCATTTACACTAGTGCGGTTTAATTTGAAAATGCATAAGTTTTGCTATGGTTACGCCATCCGTCCACACTACGCCGGAGTTTTCGAGCGACGAAAACGGAGCATTTTGAAAATGCTGGAGAGGCCGTTTTCATTCTGCTCCATCTCAGTGTGGATGAGGGAAAACTGAGAAATCTGAAAACGGAGGCGGGGCTGCTGAGATTCGCTACCTGATTGGGGCTTTTGTGTCATTGCGTAACCTTCCCTTATTCGTCAAGCCCCTATCACATGACTATAACACATGGCTTTAACGCTACCGGAAGACAGCAGACCAGCCTTCACTGTAAACAACAACACGGGCACAGAAATGGGAGCGTTGTTTGCACTATTGTCTGTTTTAGGCGCCATTGTGCAGTTATTCATTTGTTACGTTTAGTAACGTCTCGACCTCGTCGTCTGTCCACAAAAATACCTCTCTTGCATCCTTCGCCATTGTGTTCATTGTTCAACCGGCGTTTGTAGACTAACAATAACCAAATGCCGAGCGAGACACATGCTTTCTGTTTATACTAGAACGCGCATGCCCAGAGTGCGCGAATGATCACGTGATATACGTTTTTGGTGGCGTAGTGTGACAGAGATATGTTCAGAAACGCTAGGTGAAACACTAGTGTGGACGCGGATCGTTTTTGATCTACAACACCGTTTTAAAACTAAAATGCACTAATATAAACGGGGTCTAAATTAAAAGTTCAAGACTGTAATTAGAATACAGGGCCTCGTGTTTTATGCTGATGTACTAATGAAATCAAAATTATTCGCCCTCCTGTGAAATTTTTACAGTATTTTCTATAATATTTGTTCTTTTGGAGATTTTTTTTAAAACAATTTTAAGGTCAATATTATTAGCCCCCTTAAGCAATATTTGTTTTGGATTGTCGATTGTTATACAATGACTTGCCTAATTACCCTAACTTGCCTAATTAACCTAGTGAAGCCTTTAAATGTCACTTTAAGCTGTATAGAAGTGTCTTGAGGAATATCCAGTCTAGTATTATTTACTGTCATCATGACAAAGAGAAAAGAAAACAGTTGAAATGAGTTATTAAAAACATTATGATTAGTAATTTGTTAAAAAATAATCTTCGATAAACAGAAATATACAGGAGGGCTTATGATTCTGACTTCAGCTGTGTGGTATGTTTAACAAAAGTGTTAAAATAGGAGATTTTTTTTTCAGAAAACTAAAAACTGAACCGAGAGTTTTGTGAGCGGACCCACCCCTACGCCATTCAGAGTGTGTTTGATGCAGTGGTGTGTAGGACTCACCCTGGGGCAGGTCAGAGGGCAGGAACGGCACTTCTTGAGCACTGACATGTGTCCAGTCGAAGTCGTCATACGGGTCCTGCTGGTAATCGCATTGTGCTGGACCGTCATCAAAGGTGCAGCCGCCTGCAACAGACACACATTACTTTGAGTTAAAAACGTCACAAACACAAGCCAACGATATAGTAGAGCACACAGTCTCTTTCTTTTTACCAATTGTTTTTTTGCCGTCACCTCATACTTCAGTTTGTCAAACTTCCATGACCAATCAGATGCTTTCTTCTATTTGACATGCCCCACCCCTTTCTTCTCATTTGATGTGCTTGAGGTCAACCACTCTCACTGGCAGAGCTGAAAAAACTACTAAACGCTATTGGCTTTTTTTATAAAGGGGAGGAGCTACTCTATGCCCCGCCCTCTTTTCATGATTCAGTTGAGTTTACGTCAAACATCCAATAAAAATGACCATTTCAAAGCACTTCACAGAATTTCTAACCAATCCCTAATCCTGTGGCTAATATTAACCCACCATTAACTGAGACTACTCTAACCCTGACCATGACTCAACACAACACAACACAACACAACATAAACAATATGATTGTATACATAATTATAATATATGCACGTGAAGATTATATGTAGAAACAGAGATCATTCAGTGATAATTAATCGTTTACTATTGCATTACTCGTTAAAAACACGACAAAAGCAGGCCCTTTCAGCAGCTGCCCTCTACTCTACTGCTATTGAATGTCCTGTGTGTGTGTGTGTGTGTGTGTGTGTGTGTTGAGACTCAGACATTGTTACTCATTTACAGAGAGAGATTACTGATCACTCAGGCTTTTATAAAGCTGCAGGCCAAACAGAGTGAAACGAGCAGCAGAGCTCTGAGCGTTATAAACATCTGACACACACACAGAGCGGCAGAAAGCACCTGTGATTCATACCTGTACACACACACACACGATGCGTACAGGACAGTGTGCCACACCCTGTTCATAATCCCCATATGTGTGTTTGTTTGTGTGTGTGTGTGTGTGTGTGCGCATATACATATGTGTGTATGTCTGTGTACTTGTGTATGTGTGTGTATGCGTTAGAGTATTTGTTTAAGGATTTGACACACAGTAATGCAGCAGTAATGCGTACACGTACACACAATGCATACAGGACTGTGTGTCACACCCTGCTAATAATCCCCATGTATGTATGTGTACATGTATGCGGGGATGCATGTTTGTCTGTATGTGTGTGCATAGATGTATGCGTGCTTTTGTGTTTGTGTGTAAGTGTGTGTGTTTGTGTAAGTATATGCTTTGGTGATCATGTGTGTAAGTGTATGCATGCGTGTATATGCTTGTGTGTATGTTAGTGTGTGCATAAGTGAATGTTTGTGTGTACTTGTGCTTACATGTGTGTATATGTATGTGTCTATGCATGCATGTGTGTATATGTGTGTGTGCTTTTGTGTTTGTGTGTAAGTGTATATACGAATGTGTGTGTGTGTGTCTGTGTGTGTAAATGTGTGCAAGTAAATGTATGTGCATGAATATGTATGTGTGTGTATGTATGTCCTTTAGTGGTTATGTTTGTGTGTGTGTGTTCATATACTGTATGTGTGTGATTGATGTGTATGTGTGTGTAAATGTGTGTATGTCTGTGTTTATTGTGCATGTGTGTTCAAATACTGCATGTGTGCAAGATTGTGCACGTGTGAGACTGCACATGTGTGTGTGTGTGTGTGTGTGTGGGCTCAGATGGAGGCTGACGCAGTCAAGGTAGAGAACAGACATGACAGTAGGCAGCAGGACGATCTGTCACCGCTCTTGTGTGTGTGTGTGTGTGTGTGTGTGTGTGTGTGTGTTCTTTCTTGTGCATGTCTTCTGGAGCGCTCCATCAGCTGACAAATATCACCACATTTGTGATGCTTATTTATGTGGCAAAAATAAGTCTAACAGTGCAGTAAACTCACTGTAAAACAGTCCTATTGTTTATTATGCAGTCAGTTTCTGAGCTATTTACCAGACTGATGATGGAACGAGAGATGTGCATTATAATGAGCTGTATTTCCAGCCACACACTGATCCAAACAAACATGCAAACCGTGATCAGTAATATTATAGTCTTGGCAGAGGGTCTAACTAAACATTCAAGGGGCAGAGAGAGGACTCAAACCCATATTTAAAGGTGCAGTGTCCGCTTGTTAAGTGTAACATCATGCGAAGCGGCTTCTGGGTCCAAGCGCTCTATCAAACTGAATGGGGAGACTCAACAAATAATAATAATAAATGTTTACAAAAACGCTGTAAACGACACCCAGTGGTTGAACTAGGTATTGCACTCCTGGTTCAAATCACATGCAAGCGCAGGTTGCCAGATTGACGACACCAACAGGAGTGAGCCTGACTGTCAAGCCTAAAGGCTGATGTAAGTCTTGCTGTAAATAAAAGCAGCAGCACACGATACACTGCAGAACTGTTGCAAACAATTTATTTATGTTGAAGTTAAACAAACAAATTAGGTTTAATAATGTTCAACTTAATTTGTTTGTTTAAATTCAACACAAATAAATTGTTTACCACCACTTAACGTAAAAAAATTTAGTAAATCCAAGGAATCATCTCTGAATAATTTTTTTTCAGTGTAGAAGGAATATTTTCCATATTAAAAGGGGGTTTTATACTAGCATTAACTTTCTTTCTAAAATGGCATTTTAATACTAGAACATATTAGTGTAAACAGGGCCGGAGTGTGTATTTTTCACAAGTGGGTTTGCGACGGGGGTGGGGCGGAGAATCGGCGATTCTGGCTCAGCATCGTGGTGTCTATTGGCCATCGGCCCAACCCTAGTTACAATGTAACCTACTCACCTAATGTTTACGTTCATAATATTTATATTATTTGCTAATTAATATCCACCTCAAGTGGAACTCTGAATCTGAGTATCACTGGAGTCTGCTACTGTCCATCAGAGGTCTCATTTCAGTCATGGACACACACTTTTAGGCCCCGTTTACACTAGTGCGTTTTAGTTTTAAAAAGGCGTTTTAGAATGAAAACGATCCGCGTCCACACTCGCGTTTTACCCAGCGTTTCTGAACTGCTCTCCGTCCACACTAAAACGCTGAAAACGCACATCACGTGACCACACAGACACTCTCAGGCAAGCGCTGCAGCCCATCAACCCAGATGAGAGCTGTGCTAGTCGGACTTCTCATCAAGCATCTCCCGCTGGATCTAATCTCACTGTATTTATTAAACGTGATATTTCATTCATCTTGTTGTCTTTATCTAACGACATATTCCCTGACTTTGGTTATTGGAATCTATTACTTGTTCTCAGGTAACGTGTTTTGGCTGAGCGCAAAGTTAAGTTAATGATTAATGTAAGCACGTACATTCTGTATATTGACTGATCGCTTGCCTTTATTTCCTATAATGTATAAACTTATTGTATGTTATACTTTTATAATGGCCATTATCGATTATTAAAACTGATATTCAGCAAAAGAGAGGGGATGTTTCGTATTTTCACTGAAATTGAAAGGAAACAGTTGTTATTGGCTCAGTTTTGTTATAAATATGCACACAGTGAAGATGACACTCATAAATGCAGCACGACGCCTCAACATTTCTGCTGTCTGTTAAGTTGTTAATATTAAAATGAAAATAGGCAGTTCCTTATATCATGTTTACATTTTATTGTTGAGAAAGTGAAACAACGTAGGCAGGGTGATGTGAATGAAGTTATAAAGTACACTGTTCCCTTTGAAGATTGACGCGTGTCCTCGGTTATAGTCTGTTTTTCGTATCAAACTGAAAAGAAGAGACTGCAGCCTTGATCAAACTTGCGAAGTCTGAACTTACACGGAGAAGATTCAGGACTGAACTGTGTGTTAGGCTACTTAATATTGAGGAAAATCCCCAATCAGAGAGGCGAACGTCTGCAGCCCGGCCTCCGTTTTCAGATGTCTTCGTTTTCCATCATCCACACTGAGACGGAGCAGCAGCGTTTCAGAATGAAAACGGCCTCTCCAGCGTTTTTGAAACGCTCCGTTTTCGGCGCTCGAGAACTCCGCCGTAGCAAAACTTATCCGTTTTCAAACTAAAACGCATTAGTGTAAACGGGGCCTTAGAGTCTTCCTGACTGAATGAATGAAATAAGCTGTTTTCCACCAAAGCAACCCGGGTGCTGAAATATAATTGGCTAAACAGGCATTGGGTGGGTTAAAGAGACCAAAACAAAGACAGACGTTCTGGCACATAACGTACAAGCAGAATATCTGACTCCAGCGTTGTTTTTCAGGTTAACAACAATGTTCACTAAGCATGTTTCTGAATGACATAAGTTTTTTTATGCTTTAGAAGAGTCAAAAACGTACATACAGCACCTTTAAATCAACGTTCATGTTTAAAAGGAACACATGTTTATCTAGTAAAAGCTGTACAATATTTGATTAAAGAAAAACAATGAGGAATCATCAGAGAAGTCAATAAGTTTAATATGAATCAGGGTCAAAATGTGAAAACTAAACTCTTGGCACACATAAATGCATGAGGGAAAATGACGATCTTTAAACTGCCGTTGAATTCAGAAACAAAGTCTAGTGAGGAGAACAAAACACCACCCGGCCACCAACATCTCCATCATCAGCCTCTGATAAACAAGCCTGACCTCAGCCTGGACATGCATCTGAAGGACTCGCTCGCCATCATAGTGTCCAGAACGTGTTTGAGCAGACGCTGCGACTGACTCAGAACCTGTTAGCGACTCTAAAGCAGTGCATTCATTATGTGAGCTTTTCTCACCTGTGTAAAGGTCAGGCGCTCCGTGTTTTACATCCACCGACCTTTACAACCTCTCAGAGAGAGCAGAAACCCAGACGGATGAAGGTGTTAATTAAAACCGCATTGAGAAGGAAATATCTGCACTCCCCCAAAGGGCCGCACAAACTCATCTAGCACTGAAAATGAGACACGCCACCGAATCGGTGGTCAAAACAACGCTACACTGTAAAGTTCCGAGCTTGTACATCGAGACTAATAACCACGCACACTGGATTGACTATGACTGAGGCTATTAAGCAAGGCAGGTTCGTGCAAGTCTGTTATTTCAAATGGAG